CGCCTGGCCTCATATTTTTAATTTCTAAGAGCTTTCATTTTTTATAACATCTGGTTCTTACTTTATAGATGAAATACATTCTTTCAGTTCTGAAGAAATTAATGCTACTTGTTTTAAATGTTCTCCCTGCAGAGCCTCTGTTTCTTCTAAGTTGATTTCTTCTCTCCATTTTAGAGGGTTTCCTCATATATCTGATAACTTGGTTGTCTACTCTCATTAAAAATGAGAAACTAGGCCAGGCACGGTGGTTCACGCCTGTAATCCTAGCACTTTGGGAGGCCGAGGCGGGTGGATCACTTGGGGTCAGGAGTTCAAGACCAGCCTGGCCAACATGGTGAAACCCCGTCTCTACTAAAATACAAAAATTAGCTGGGCGTGGTGGTGTATGCCTGTAATCCCAGCTACTCGGGAGGCTTAGGAAGGAGAATCCATTGAACTCGGGAGGCAGAGGTTGCAGTGAGCCAAGATCACGCCACTGTACTCCAGTCTGTGAGTGAGACTCCCTCTCAAAAAAAAAAAAAAGTGAGAAACTATAAATGTAGTACAGTTTATACATTAATATACCCACCACCTAGAATCTGAGCTTCAAGGTAGAAGTTAACAACTTTCATCTTCACTGGAGAAGGATCTGGATGGCTCATTTATTGGGAAACCTCCAACATCAGTATCATTAGGTTTTTCCTCCTGGCTTTGTATTAGTCCATTTTTTTTTTACAAAGACATACCCTACACTAGGCAATTTAAAGAAAGAGGTTTATTGGACTTGCAGTTTCATGTGGCTGGGGAGGCCTCACAATCATGGCAGAAGGCAAGGAGAAGCAAGTCATATCTTATGTGCATGGCAGCAGGCAAAAAGAGAGCTTGTGTAGAGAAACACCCATTTTTAAAACCATCAGATCTCGTGAGACCCACATCACAAGAACAGCATGGGAAAGACCCGCCCCGATGATTCAATCATCTCCCACTGGGTCCCTCCTATAACACGTGGGAATTATAAGAGCTACAAGATGAGATTTGGGAGGGGACACACAGCCAAACTATATCAGCTTGGTCAGGTGATACACAGAAGAGTCCTCCAACATCTGGCATAGAGTGTAGAAATGCAAGTGTTAGTTTTTGGGGAAGTCAACATACAAAGGAAGTTGGGGGCTGAGCATGGTAGCTCATACGTGTAATCCCAGCACTTTGGGAGGCCAAGGTGGGAGGATTGCTTGTGGCCAAGGGTTTGACACCAGCCTGGTCAACATGGCAAGACCCAGTCTCTACTAAAAAAAAAAATTTTAATTAGTCAAGTGTGGTGGCATACACCTATAGTCCTAGCTACTCAGGAGGCTGAGGTGGGAGTATGGCTTAAGCCCAGGAGTTCAAGGCTGCACTGAGCTATGATCACACCACTGCCCTCCAGCCTGGGCAACAAAGTGAGACTCTCTCTCTAAAAAACAATGAAAATTAATTAATTAAAGGGAAGCTGGAAGGAATGGCTCCTCAATATTCAGCATTCAGAATCTTCCTGGTTTTGCCAGTCAAAAGACTCTCTATTTTGCCATCTCCAGGGATTAAACCTCTTGATTTCCACTAGTAATTCTTAAGTAATCTCAGAATAGCATGCTCTTGGAAGGAAATCTAAGGACCCATCTGCCTCTCAAACGGCTTTCATCTAAACCTCCTTATTTTACTCACTACTGCTACTCCCATACATAATTCCAATGGTATCTGGTGCTTTCAGTTTATAAGCCTTTTGATTACGAATTTCTCTTTCAGCTTTCCCCACTCTGGACTTAGGATTTTAATGTCTCTCTGACTCAGTTATTCCTCATCCATTCGCTTTGCAGCTTCCAAAATTTTCTCCCTTGTCACACCCCCTATTCTCTCCATTACCATGGGATTATCTCATAACTGCATTAGGTTTTTTATACTACCCTCAACACTTCATTACAAAAATTTTAAAAACAGAGAAAGTTGAAAGTATTGTGCAGTGAACATCCATATATCCACAACCTGGACTCTAGGATTGTTAACATTTTGCCTTATTTGCTTTATCAGATATTCATTCATCCATCAATGTTTGCATTCATTTATCCACCCATCAGTCCATCATATATTTTATGCACTTCAAAGCAAGTTGTAAACATCAGTACATTTCACTCCTAAATAGTTCAGCATGTATATCATTAATTAGAATTTAGTATAGTTTAGTATAGAGCCTGGAATACATGTTTAAGACAAACAAACAAAAACCCCTTTGTGATTCTGTTGATTATTCATGGAAGAAGTGCTTCTAAAAAGTGACTAACAGAATTTTGAACTCCTTTTTGCATATATGCACAGCATAAAACTATTAATGTAAAGTAGATAAATGTTCACAAAATTGCCAGAAGACTTTTTATATGTACCCAGCTAAGTCTGTACATCAAAAGTCAGTCAATGAATCAAAATCTTACCTCTGACCCTATATGGGATATACACACAACAGTGAGGAGTAATATACGACAATCAGGTTACAACCCTAAACATGGGAAGAAATAGAAACAGTCTTACCACAGAGCTTTTCTTGGATCCTATGTGCCTCGGCTAATCTTTCTTCAGCAGCCCGTCTTCCAAGACCAGCTTCCTTTCTAGCAACAGCTAGGTCATATTCCAGACTTTGTCGCAATGCTTCTCCCTTTTCAACCTCGGACCGTAGCTTGGCAATCTGGCTCTCATAGCTTGCCAGCTAAAAACAAATTCCTGACATCAACATGTGTCCAAAGATTATGAGAGCATACACTCAAACATTTAAGTTTCTTAGAGAAACTTGTTTCCATAATATATACAAGGCAAAAATTCATAAATTTATATGTTCTGAATCACTAGAAAGAAAGCACTGTCTTACAAAATGACACTCATTATGTTTTTTACATTAGAGAATCCACTAGAGGAAAAAAAACAAAAAAAGTCTTACAAAAACTTTTTACAAAATTAAAGATAAATTACATGTTTTAATCAGAAATAGTCACACCTTGGCCCGGCATGGTGGCTCACTCCTGTAATCCCAGCACTTTGGGAGGCCAAGGCAAGAGGATCACTTAAGCCCAGAAGTTCAAGACCAGCCAGGGCCACAGGGGGAGACTCTGTCTCTATAAAAATAATAATACAAAAATTAATCAGGCATGGTGGTGTGTGCCTGTAGTCCCAGCTACTCAGGAGGCTGAGATGGAAGGATTGCTTGAGCCTGGGAGGCAGAGGTTGCAGTGAACAGAGACCACGCCACTGCACTCCATCCTAAAGGACAGAGCAAGACTGTCTCAAAAAAAAAGAAAAGAAAATATTCATACCTAAAAAAAAAAAAAAATGCATGATACATACTAAGCACTTAAAAATTCATTCTTTCCTTTCCTCCTTCTATTCCCTAAATGAAACCAATAAATAAATTGCATCAAAGTAGTTTAATATTGTCTGTATTATTTCTCTTGATTATATCACTGATCATAAAGTAATAAAAGTGCCAATTTTGCAGGGATTTAAATGAACGAATATCGAATTTGTGATCCTTCTGAAGTAGCATGACAGAAGGTCAGAGACAACTGGCTTCTCAATAGGCTTGATCAATGAGAGGCACATGTGGAGTGACTGACAGCAGGGGAAGTGAAAATGCCAAGATACTTCTGCCTTTCTAGATCTACCTCGAGTAGTTATCCCTCTCTTGTCTGTGGCTGCAAATCCTTATGGACAACCCCTCCCTCCATGGGCCTTGCTTTGTCCAGTTCTAGCTCTAATGAACCTTGGGAATAGAAGCAGTTCTCAATGTTGTTGGGTTGTCTTAATCTCCTCTAGTTGTCTTTTCCGCTTTTCTATTACCTGTGTAACCAATATCCGCTACTAATGTCCCTTTGTTGTAAGACTTAGAATGGTTTCTGTTTTCCTAACTGAATACCCAGTAATATTGCTCTTGGTATCAGAAATTGTCTCAAGATGGGTTTATAATATTGAGTGTCTAATATATTTAAGCGTGAACAGTGAAAGCCTCTTTGCAGGTAGAAATGGGACTCTAGTGATCTAGAGCATACAGTGGGATCACAGTTCTTTAAATTATGGTGTGCAGTTGTTTAGAATGAAGTGCCAGTTGAAAACAAGCCTTTGGAAAATGAAGTAATGAATGCACTTAACTATGATGCCAGTATTGATTTACTATAAGACCTGAGGGGTAGAAAGGCTAAATTTCACTATACTAGAGAATTTACAAAAACAAAATGATAATCTCAGAGCTTTAGAATCTCAGTTCAAGACAGTCAGAAAACCAGAGTTTTTATGGTGACTTTAAAATAATTGCTTATTTAGTATAGCCCCAGGGCAGACAAGGTTATGAACAAACCTGAAAATCTAATTATGGGAAATGCAAAATTACAAGTTCAGTGAAGAGTTTCACCAAGTTTCTACTGTTAAGATGGTATCAGCTGGATATTAAGTAGGAAGAACATAGGATGAGGACTTTCAGAATTGAACCAACCTAAAAACTATGAACTCTCAAATCCCGCCTGAACATTCCTTACCAAAAAAAAAAGGAGCCTCTCCTCTCTGACTGAGGTAACCAGCTTTTCCTTGCTGAAAGATTCAGTAACAACCACACCTGAAGCAGCTGCCTTGCAGGAGTATTTGCAAGAGCCACCTACATTGCTCTGTTCACCACAGATTGACTCAGATCTCAGTATGCTACAGAAGGAAAAATGCAGTCTGCTCCAGGAGGAAATAGCTTATATAGCAGAAGAACTGAAAGCTCTTGCTAATCTAGTTTTCACAGGAACTTGGAGAACATGTACAAGATCGATTTCGTAAGTTAACTCTAACAGTTCTGCTTGGATGGTTGACTGAAAATTGAATTCAACATCGGCCTACAATCATTTCATAAGGTCAAAATACCAGTACTTTCCTGGCATAATACAGACTTAAGAACATGGGAGTGGTTTTGTGCAAACCAAAGCCTCCCCTTTCCTTGACTACATCGTCTTCGAGGGCACAAAGTACATTACTTAAAATTAAAATGCTGGCCAGGTGCGGTAGATCGCTCCTGCAATCCCAGCACTTTGACAGGCTGATAAGAGAGGGTTGCTTGAGGATAGAAGTTTGAGACCAACCTGAGCAACAGAGCAAGACCCCGTGTCTACAAATAATAATAATAATAACAAATTAGCCAGCCGTGATGGCACACACCTATAGTCCTAGTTACTTGGGAGGCTGTAGCATAAAATCACTTGAGCCCAGGAGTTCCAGGCTGTAGGGAGCTATGATCACATCACTGCATGCAATCCTGGGCAACAAAGCAAGACCCTGTCCCTAAAAGAAAAGATTTAAAACAACAAATATACATACATGTATACATACACATACACACACACACACACACAATAACTGAAATATGATACACGATATGTAGCTACAATTTTTTTTTTTTTTTTTTTTTGAGACAGAGTCTTGCTCTGTCACCCAAGCTGGAGTGCAGTGGCATGATCTTGGCTCACTGCAACCTCGGCCTCCCCGGTTCAACTGATTCTCCCACCTCAGCCACCCAAGTAGCTGGGAGTATAGGCGTGCACCACCACGCCCAGCTAATTTTTGTAGTTTTAGTAGAGACAGGATTTCGCCATGTTGACCAGGCTGGTCTCGAACTCCTGACTTCAAGTGATTCGCCCACCACAGGCGTGAGCCATGGCACCCATCCTGTAGCTGTAATTTCTAAAATTTGGTATGCATCTGTGATTTCTGTTGATGATACTCAAAAGTATTGCTAACACTACTATGACTTGTTAAAAGGAGGACTGGCTGGGTCAAGCCCTTCAGAACGGAAGGAAATGCTTAATATCAGTTAGAGGTTAATAAAAATAAAATTATAAGCTTTCCCCATCTAAGTTCACAGATTCCCTGATTTCTCTTTTTGAGGACTCCAGCTTAAGAATCCCTGCTCTTAAGAGTACTGGCTGGGTCAGACAGTATCTTCAGGCCATAAAGCCTACCGATTAGTCCTAAGTTTCCAGTATTTTTTGGCTAAAAGAAGTTATGTCAGCCGGGTACAGTGGCTCACACCTGTTGTCCCAGCACTTGGAGAAGCCAAGGCAGGTGGGTAACTTGAGCTCAGAAGTTCAAGACCAGCCTGGACAACATGGCAAAACCACGCCTCTATAAAATACAAAAAACTAGTCAAGCATGGTGGCACGTGCGTGTCTGTAGTCCCAGCTCCTCAGGAGGTTGAGGTAGGAGATGACTTGAGTCCAGAAGGTTGATGCTGCAGTGAGCCAAGATGACACCACTGCACTCCAACCTGGGTGACAGAGCGAGAACCTGTTTCAAAAAAAACCACACAGACACACACACACACACACACACATACACACACAAAGAAGTTATGTCACTCTTTACCCTCTCCCTTTCTCATTTATCTGGATTTTCTTGCACTGTCATCACTATCTGGGCCAATGAGATATCTGAATACCCTCACAGTCTTCTTGTCCTATTTTCCACAACTTTATTGTTATGCTCAAATGATTCTAAAAACCACTGCAACAATGAAAACTTTATAGTATTTTCTTATCCTAAACATTTACATCAATGCAACTTCGTCTCATCTGGATCCTACGAGTCTATAAGCAATTCTTCTCCCCATACCCTCTGTCTACTAATAAATCCTTTCAACAGTAATCTAATATTCAAATACCTATCAAAGAAAACTGTAGTTCAGAAAAATGAAGTAACTTGCCTAAAATCCCCCAACAATAAAACTCCTAGAGGAGTCTTTAAATATATTTTGTGCCAATCACCATGCATGATTTGTGTTCACATTAGGAATACATGATAAGGAATATATGGCCTTAGTTTTTAGATCACTGCGTTCGTCTCTGCCTTGCTTCCTGATGGGTATACTTGAAGATTGTCTGGCTAAAAAATTTAACTACATGATACAAGTATGATCATCTACAGAAATAATTGAAGGCCAGACACAGTGGCTCACTGGCTCATACCTGTAATCCCAGCACTTTGGGAGGTCAAGGCAGGTGGATCACTTGAGGTCAGGAGTTTGAGACCAGCCTAGCCAACACAGTAAAACCCCATCTCCACTAAAAATACAAAAATTTGTCTGGGCACGGTGGCTCACACCTATAATCCCAGTACTTTGGGAGGTCAAGACAGGTGGTTCACAAGGTCGGGAGTTTGAGACCAGCCTGCTCAAGATGGTAAAACCCCGTCTTTACTAAAAATACAAAAATTAGCCAGGTGCAGTGGCAGGCACCTGTAATCCCAGCTACTTGGGAGGCTGAGGCAGAAGAATAGCTTGAATCTGGGAGGCAGAGGTTGCAGTGAGCCAAGATAGCACCATTGTACTCCAGCCTGGACAACAGACTGAGTGAGACTCTGTCTTAAAAAAAAAAGAAAAAGAAAAGAAAAGAAATAATTGAAAATAATAATAAGTACTAATATAAATCTGGAGTTGAATCAATTATAATTTCCTGTTTTAAGAAAACTGTCTTCCTTCCCTAAAAATTTCCTACCTCTTTAATGTGAACATATACTTCAAAACATTTTGATCAAATAAAAGAGAACAGTGTGTTCTGCTGAGAAATCTAATGACAACCATAAACATATTATGAAAGAATATATTTATTTTTATTTTATTTTTTTGTAGATACAGGGTCTCACTCTGTTGCCCAGGCTGGTTTCAAACTCCTGGGGGCAAACAATCCTCTTGCCTTGGCCTCCCAAAGTGCTGGGATTACAGGCATGAGCCACCACACCTGGCTGTGAGAGAATTTATTTAATAGAGGAATGATTATCATCACACTAATACTCTCAAGTAACATGTACATTTGGTTTTAAAAAATAAGTTTTAGCGTTTATGAATAATTAGCATACATTTAACACATATCACTTTATATGGATTATTACAATGTAAATAGAAGCAATTACTTCAACTATTAAAAATTTTTTTTTAATTACCTCAGTTGGGCCAGGCACAGTGGCTTACGCCTGTAATCCCAGCACTTTGGGAGGCCAAGGTGAGCAGATCACCTGAGGTTACGAGTTCAAGACCAGCCTGGCCAACATGGTAAAACCCCATCTCTACTAAAAATACAAAAATTAGCTGGGCGTGGTAGCACGTGCCTGTAATCCCAGCTAATGGGGAGGCTGAGACAAGTGATTCTCCAATCACTTGAACCTGGAGGCAGAGGATGCAGTGAGCCGAGATCGCTCCAGTGCACTCCAGCCTGGGTGACAGAGTGAGACTTCGTCTCAAAAAAAAGAAAAATTATAATAATAATATTACCTTAATTGCTACTAAAAAATACAAAGAGAAATGATTACGTATTCATCTCGTTTTTTCAATCAGCAATACCACCGCTCCTTAGATACACTGAAAAAAATCATCTTTTCATACTCTCCTCTGTTGCCCAGACTAGAGTACAGTGGCACAATCTCAGCTCACAGAAACCTCCAGCTCCAGGGTTCAAGTGATTCTCCTGCCTCAGCCTCCCAAGTAGCTGAGATTACAGGTGGCGCCACCACGCCCAGCTAATTTTTGTATTTTTAGTAGAAATGGGGTTTTACCATATTGGCCAGGCTGATCTTGAACTCCTGACTTCAAGTGACCCACCCACCTTGGCCTCCCAAAGTGCTGGGATTATAAGCATGAGCCACCGCACCTGGCCCTTTTTATACATTTATTCAGTACACAACCACTGACTGATGGCCTACTATGTGCCAGTAAACATGAGCGATATGGAGACAAAGTGGGATCACCGTTTTCAGCTCTCAGGGGGTTTACAAACTAAAGAAGAGCAGATAAACATGATATAAATGTTTTAGTTCTAAAATATCTGTAACAGCAACATGTTATGGAAGAACAAAGTAGTAGCTGGTTTAACTTAGAGAGACATGACAAGGTTTCCCAACATGAGAACTGCGTAACTTAGCAAAAAGGGAAGAAAAACATACTGCTTACACTTAACTGTCAATAAATTACAGCTACTATTACAGTACTCGAGTACTTTCCAAATTTTATTTCACTGAATTATCACAACAATCCTTTGGGACCAGCAGTTTACAATGAGAAACCAATGGTGTACAGGATAAACAAGTAGCCCAAGATGACGCATCTTAAATGGAAAGGCCAGGAACGAATTGAGCTCTGTGTAATTTGATATTCTTCCCACTACACCAGGTGGCCCAAAGTGAGTTTTAAGAATAAATAAGATTTAGCAGAGAAAAAAGGAGAAAGAACACAACAGAGAGAAGAGGCATAAAGATATGACTCATGAGTTATCTTAGAAGGGAAGAAAAACTATCTTGGAATATATACATACACATATGAAATATACATATATACACATACATACTAATAAAAGAAATGACTTATAACATAAAGTAAGAAAATTTATGAATTAAACTATGATTTAAAATTCCATACTCAAATTTACTTGAGATTGTTCCATAATTGAGACCTTAAAGGAACCTACATTATGATTTCAAAAATGTCTGATTTACAAATCCTTTAATCATCAAACATGTTCATAAATTAGTATTTTTAATCAATTGAACCCATTAATTAAAATAAATCTAAGATAACATAGAAATAAACATAATTCATTAAAGTTCTACTTTAACACTTATACAATTACACTACATTTTAAAATCATGTTTTATTTATTACAATTTCCTTTTTAAACACAACAATGGTATAGTGATAAAGGGTAAACATGGAGTTTTTCATATGAAATAAATCTAAAAAATCAAACTCAACTTTTAACATTATTTCAGAGGAAAATAAATCGTACCTCTGCATTGTGTTTGGTTGTTATTTCTAATTTTTCTTTTTTAGCCCGATGGAGTTTCTTCCTGAGATCAGCAGTAATATCCAACTCTGTTTCTGTTTTAAGTATTTGTTTTACATCTGATGAGGCATTCTTCAACCTACAAAATGACATTATAGTAAAATGTATATGCTTCTCATAAAGCACATTTCAGAGCATTTCTGATATTTCTGATAACTTATTTTTCAAAAAACAAAGAGAACATGACATAGTTCTTGACTTAGAGTTCACAATCTAGTAAAAGATGTCCATTGCGAAAGCTATGTAGAAATACAAATATATAGATAGATAGACGTCTAGCAACAAACCACTGTCTAATGGGAAATTACCACATTATTCAAGATTGCTACTTAAACTGTCTGATCATACCACAGGCTGGATCATTTTGAAAGAGACTGGGTTCACCCACTTTTTTTCTTTGTAAATAATACATTTTGTTTACTGCAAATGTAATACATAATACAAAAAGAAAAATGTCAGACTAAAGCACACTACTCTCTCCCAAAAATAAAAATGGAACATTAAAATAACCGCAAACAGAATTCAGAGGTATAAACTCACAAGAGAAAGAACACAAAAGATGAGATAATAGCAATAAAATACTGGAAGCTGAAATGCATGTGGACAAGTGGTAACTGATAACCCCCAAAAGCTCAGTAATTGACAACACCTTTGAAAATCGGGGTAAAAGTAGAGCAGAAAACAGGAGAATTAGTTGAAAGTCTGCCAACAAAATAATTACATCCTCAGATCCCCTATCCCCTACACCACACAACTGGGTACCTATCTCTTTCCCAGTCTGGCAGAAAAACACTAGGGGTTTATTCCCTGGAGAGGATAAAACAGAAGGTCTCTGGATCAGAAGACATTAGATACAAATGACGTAAGTTTTTCATACTATATACAATAAGCTTGAGTTAAAAGTTACATAATGAAAGAGCGCTCTAGAGTTTTAATACTACTTGTCTTGCCAGAACGATGGCAGTCAAGCAGTGATTGGAAGTGTCTTCCCTACAGAACCTAAGCAACCAGGTGAAAAATACCTAAAGATACTGATGCCAGTCATTCTCTAGCAAAACAGCTTAACCATATAACCCTACAGAGCACACCACAAACACAAAGCCTCACACACTGAGCTTCCAGTCATCTTTTTAGGCGAAGCCCCTACTTTTCAACATAAGCAGACAGCCAACAATCACCAAGAGTTTAGGAAGCACCTAACATGATAAACAGAGACCAAAAATATGGTGCATGGAAAGAAGCATGCCTTGAAAGACTATGCAGAAAGATGACAACTTAGAAGAGGAAAAAAAAAAAAAAAAACCTAACATTGTCTCCTAAAAAAAAACAGGAGAGAGTATAACATCCATATATCACATCCATGACTGCAATAAGAAATGAAATATTCAGAGGAAAAAAAGCTCTTAAAAATCAAAAACACGGCCGGGTGCAGTGGCTCAGGCCCGGCCTCCAAGCACCTTGGGAGGCTGTGGTGGGCAGATCACTTGAGGCCAGGAGTTCAAGACCAGCCTGGCCAACATAGTGAAACCCTGTCTCTACTAAAAATACAAAAATTAGCTGGGTGTGGTGGCTCATGCTTGTAATCCCAGCTACTTGGGAGGCTAAGGCAGGAGAATCCCTGAACCCAGGAAGCAGAAGTTGCAGTGAGCAGAGATCACACCATTGCACTCCAGCCTGGGCAACAAGAGCGAAACTCCATCTCAAAAAAAACAAAAAAACAAAGAAAAGAAAAGAAAAGAAAAAGAAAAAGAAAAGAAATCAAAAACACAAACTAAGAAAATGAAAAGCTAAATAAAAATAAAAGAAAAATCTCCCAGAAAATAAAGCAAAAAGATGGAGATGAAAAAATTGAAAATTTTTTAAATTAGAAGACTATCCAAGAAGTTCAAAATCTAAATAAAGGTGCAGAAGGAGAAAATATAAATTTATAACATTAAATAGTCTTATTATTTTGTAAGCATTGTTCTAAGCATTTTACATATATAAACCCATTTATTCTTCACAATAATCTCATGAGATTGGTACTATTATGACCCCTATGACCCAAGTTCACAGGGCTAGTGAGGAGCAGAGCTGAAATTCAACCCTGAAAGCCTGGCTCCATGATATATCCTCTTAACCACTGCACTATAATGTCTCTCTGAAGGGGAGGAAACTATTACAGAAACAAATCCACGGAAATAGGCAGATTCCGAAGGATATAAGTTTCAAACTGAAAGGGCCTACTAAAAGAGCTCAGGTTAAATGCATGGAAATTTCAGAAAACAGGGAACAAAAAAGTAGTTCCTCCAAAGTCCAGAGAGAAATAAATAGGTTTTACACAAAAGACTAAGAAATATGTTTGACTATAAAAATCCCTGAAAGACAGCCAGGGCATGGTGGCTCACGCCTGTAATCCCAGCACTTTCAGAGGCCAAGACGGGCGGATCATGAGGTCAGGAGATTGGAGACCATCCTGGCTAACGCAGTGAAACCCCATCCCTACTAAAAATACAAAAATTAGCTGAGCGTGGTGGTGGGCGCCTGTAGTCCCAGCTACTTGGGAGGCTGAGGCAGGAGAATGGCATGAACCCGCGAGGCAGAGCTTGCAGTGAGCTGAGATAGCACCAATGCACTCCAGCCTGGGAGACAGAGCAAGACTCCGTCTCAAAAAAAAAAATTAAAAAATAAAAAATCCCTGAAAGACAACCTGGGCAATACCACCCTGGACATAGGAACACGCAAAGATGTCATGACAAAGATGCCTAAAGCAATCACAACAAAAGCAAAAACTGACAAATGGGATCTAATTAAACTTAAGACCTTCTTCACGGCCAAAAAACTATCAACGGTGTAAACAGACATCCTAGAGAATGGGAAACAAATATTCGCAAATTATACACCTGACAAAGGTCTAGTATCCAGCATCTATAAGCAACTTAAATTTATGAGAAAAAAAATTCAAAAGTAGGCAAAGGACATAAAAAGATACTTTTCAAGAGAAGACATACATGCAGCCAACAAGCATATGAAACAAAGTTCAGTATCAGTGATCATTAGAGAAATGCAAATCAAAACCACAATGAGATACCATCCCACACTAGTCAGAATGGCTATTATTAAAAAGTCAAAAAATAAGGCCAGGCGCAGTGGCTCATGCCTGTAATTCCAGCACTTCGGGAGGCCGAGGCGGATAGATCACCTGAGGTCAGGAGTTTAAGACCAGCCTGGCCAATATGGCAAAACCCCATCTCTACTAAAAAATACAAAAATTAGCTGGACGTTGTGGCGGGCGCCTATAATCTCAGCTACTCGGGAGGCGGAGGCAGAAGAATCACTTGAACCCGGGAGGCAGAGCTTGCAGTGAGCTGAGATCCGGCCACTGCACTCCAGCCTGGGTGACAGAGCGAGACTCCGTCTCAAAAAAAAAAAAAAAAAGTCAAAAAATAATAGATGGGGGCAAGGTTGCAGGAAAAAAGGGAACACTTATATACTAATGATAGAGAATGTAAATTAGTTCAACCATTCTGGAAAGCAACATGGTGATTCCTCAGAGAGCTTAAAACAGAACTACTATTCAACCCAGCAACCCCATTACTAGGTATACACCCAGAGGAAAATAAATCATTCTACCATAAAGACACATGCATACAAATGTCCACTGCAGCACTATCCACAATAGCAAAGGCATAGAATCAACCTAACTGCCCATCAGTGACAGACTGGATAAAGAAAATGTGGTACATATACACCATAGGATACTACGCAGTCATAAAAAATAATGAGATCATGTCTTTTGTGGGAACATGAATGGAGCTAGAGGCCATTATCCTTAGCAAATTAACCCAGGAAAGGAAAACCAAATACCACGTGTTCTCACTTATAAATGGGAACTAAATGATAACTCATGGACACAAAGAAAAAAATAATGGACTACTTAAGAGTAAAGGGTGTGGGAAGGAAGAGGAGCAGAGGAAAAAAAAAAAAAAAGAAGAGGAGCAGAAAAATAACTACTGGGTACTAGGCTTAGTACCTGGGTGATGGATGGAATAATCTGTACAACAGATCCCCATAGCACGAGTTTGCCTATATAACAAACCTGCACATGTACCCCTGCACCTAAAATAAAAGTTTTAAAAAAAAGTCTGACATCATTTCTCAACAAAAACACTGGAAATTAGGAAATAATGATGCAATGCCTGACAAAATTCCAAGGGAAAAATCATTTCTAACTTAGAATTTTATACCCAACAAATCACCATCCAAAGACAAGACTATAAGAAAGACAATTTCAGATCTGCCAGGCCTCAAAATATTTATCTCCCATGAACTTTCTCAGGAGGCTAATGGAACATTTACTCCACCAAAATGAGAAAGAGAAAGACATGGGATTCTAGAAGTTGGGTACTCAACACAAGAAAACAGCAGAGGGATTTCCAGGATAGTGATGGGAGGAAATACTAAGATGACACATGTGCAGCAAAGCACTTAATGGGAAATCTGTTCTAGCAGGACTGGTCAAAGCCTCCAGGAGTGATTTATTTAAGAAGATGAAAACATGCCAGGTGCAGTGGCTCACACCTGTAATCCCAGCACTTTGGGAGGCCAAAGCAGGAGGATCACTTGAGCCCAGGAGGTTAAGATTGCAGTGAGCCATGATTATGCCACTGCATTACAGCCTGGGTGACAGAACAAAATGCTGTCTTTAAAAAAGGAAGAAGAAGGAGAAGGAGAAGGAAAAGGAGCGGAGAAGAAGAACAAGAAGAAGAAGAAGACAAAAAACATATTGAGAGAGATTTATGTAATTTGTTTGGAGCATGAAGTTGAATTCCTGGTAAGTTCATAGAAACTAAGTAAACAAACCAAATAAGAAAGCAGGTAATTATTAATCCAAGCAAAATAAATTGTAAAAGAAAGTAAAAAATGTCACTGAATACTACTACATGGGCTCAACTTAAAGTTTTCATAACTACAATAATGTAAACATTGAATAACTAATCTAAGATTATAATATCACTAAATGAAGAGAACAGAAAGGGAAGCAGGCAGGAATGAGAACTAAATTATGATCCTCTGTACCAGGAAGTCAGTAGATAACAC